TATCATTTTCATTCAGAATGTAAGGTATGTATCGCGTCTAGCGCTGTAGTACGGTCTTTCTGTCTCAATGGTTATGTGATTTGGTTGAATTGTCTCCAATAGTCTACCGCGCTTTTTGAGTGGACAGGCGACGGCACACTAACCGTAGATAGGACACTGCTGGCTTGGAGGCAGATGCCAGCCGTTGATAACCCGTGTCGTGGTGCCGTTTAGCGAAGAGGGCGTATGTTGTTGGATTAGGCAACCGGCTAACTCAAACATATCCAGGTTAGGTCGAACCCAGTTTGTGGTATCAAACGACCTTCGCCCCAGGTCTTGTCCTCGACGTACCGCTGAGGCACAGGCACCTGTAGCCTCTGGCTGCTGTGCTCTCAGTGTTTTCGTCTCCCTGTTTCCTGGCATTCGGGCGTCAGCTGATACGAAGGTCGTATACGGGTTTTTATCTTGTTCATCGCACAACTGGTTGAGTTCTTCTCTCAGAACTAGCGGCTGAAATACTGGGTCCTGGGGTAGAGATCTTGCAGATTGGTTGGCATCTTTTGTGTCAATTCGTGGCAGCAGCAACATGTGCTGTGAATAAAACGCATCAAGTTCTTGCCAATGCAAAGTTCCTGCTCTCCCTCAGTGGTCTCTCGACTACGACTGTTTCCATTGTGCTTCAAGAAGGTTCGCATCTGCAACACTCGATTAAGATTTTTACAGTGATATGTACCCGTAAATTATTCTTGGTTTCAGTGTGTGTGTTTGCCATGGGTGAACAGTATACTTTATATGTTATGGAATGAAATACAATGTCAGATTAGCCTGGGAAAGGTTCGGTGGAAAGTGCATGTTAATTGTGTACTTGGAGGTATGGCAGATGTTCCGAAAAGTGTTTGGGTTGTTGTCTGATGCCGTGTAAAGTGTGGAGACCTGCGTTCCATTTCATAATTGCAAGCCCTGTACAAATGTAGGGCAGGCCAGTGCTGATGAAAATTGCATGTGTGCAGGCCCGCGCCTTCCATATGCACATTTTCCGCACCGACTTCGACACAGACCTCTTTGGGCATAGGGCTGACCATGCCTCACTCGCCCACTCATCTTGTGGCGATGGAAGAGAGCCTCATATACTATGCGCGTCACAAATATATAGCCAGAGTCGCAATATAGAGCCGCGCAAGCTCAGGTAATTTGTGGCTTGGCTTTCAAGAGACAGAAGGTCGCGTTCCGCTACAGCTGTAATGCGGCTTGGTGTGTCGCAGGGTCTCTACACAACCAAACCCATAAAAAAATACAAAAGAATACTTTGGGTTGGGGTTCTGCAAACCTAAAAAGGTTTTCTGTTTCTTTGGCGCCGCACTAACTGTGTCTAGTGCGTCCGCCCCCGGGTCTCTATCACTCTTCAAGATAGCCGAAGGCAAATTAGGCCCCCTTGGGGTATCCAGAACTTTCTTTAACTCTCCTTTTCACATAAACGTTTCTCATACTACAATCGCAGTGTTTTGTTTAACGGCCACTTGTTTTATAACACAAGTATAAAATAAACACTATTTTGTAGCAATTAGGCAAAAAAGTAAAATTAACAAATAATAAACCTATTTTAGAATAGTATAAGTAATAAAGAAATCACCATCTTGGAAATAGTATACAATAATAGTGAAAAATACACCCATCCTTGGGAATAATGCCATAGTAAAATTTGAATTGGGGAATTCACTCCATATTAAGCCATTGTGACCCTGGTTTTCCCTTCCCATTCCAAAATGATTCCATCAATTTGAAGTATACCACCACTCAATTTTAGGACTTCCTTTCGCGGAACAATCTCATCATTGACATCCATAATCCCATCTTACATAATTTAAAGCGCCAATCCTCGATCCATTTACATCACACGATCCCCTATTATAGGGGGGGGTGGGGCTCGTCTTTGTTTCTGCCTAGCATATTTGATACCTCGGAGTTTCCTCAATGGAGACATATTGAGCCTTGGAAGGGTGGTTTCCCCGGGTGAAGGGCCGTGGGGTTGATCAGTCCGGACTGCTACTAAAGGTGGCGGGATGCGCCATGTATGTAGGCAAACCCAAACACAAACAGGTAACGAATATCACAATCACCTTCCTGAGGGAAAAATAGACAACTCATTCCACTGCAGTACTAGATTAATTGAGTACTTCCCAGCCGCCCATTTAAGTTTAATCAGTAATATTATGTTTGAATATTTTATATTTTAATTAACCTAAGACCACTGGGGGGTTCATGGTTGGTGGTTACAAAATATCAAAACAAAATATATGGCGGGGTGGTGGAATAACAAAATAAAATCATGAGTCATAAAACTAAACCTGGGAAATTATACTGGACAAAAGTACATTTTTGTTTTTGTTAAACTTGAAACAGGTTTTTAACCCGAACCACCCAGTGGTTTTTAAAGCAAACGTTATTGGCCAATTTTTTTAGGTAAGTAGGGAGCCGGATGGACCGTGGCAACAAGGATTAAATAAAATGTTAATGTAAATAATTTTCAACAGTCCTAAAACGTTAAATGGTACAAAAACCTGTATAATGTAAGATTTAATTCTAACGTGGAGTTTCTAAAGGGTTATAGAAACCAAAGGGGATTGCCAAGGTAAAATAGCCCCCATAACATATGTCTTGTAAATAGTAAAGTGGGGTTGCCCAAGTGGTGACTTGTCATTAGGGGCCAGTACGGGCACAGCCAGACCTAGGGTCAGCAGAAAGTATTTACAAAATAATGATCAAAAATGCAAAAAATAATAAAAAAATATATAAATATATTTAAGAATCATGTTTTAATCATTCTGATTCGGTTGTACATTGTGGTTTTAGTCTTTGGGTTGTATCTTCTAGTGGTCTACAAGTTGGTGCGCCTATTTAGCAGCTTGTTTTTAGAAGCATGGTGGCACAAACCGATCAATGGCCTCCCCTCTCACTAGTCCTTAAGTGGGAACGGTGGAACTGTAAAAACTACACTGCGCATGCTCAGAAGGTATTTGTCCCTATTTAATTGTGCGGTGGTGGCAAAAAAATTTATGCCATAGGGCATAGAGCTGCCTCCCACCATAATGTCATCTCACATAGATTCAGAGCTGATTGGCTGTCAAGTACGTTGCCGCGAAAGTGTGGGTGTGTGTAGAGGAGCGAGAAGAGCCTGCAAGGGTTCTTGGCTAGAAAGGATCCGTCTTGTGTAAATATGACGTCACGTTGTCGTTGTAACTCTCGTTGTAATCGGAGCGGCTCGGAAACACATCTACAGCAGTAACACGATGCAACATACACATTAATGCAGCAGGATAATAGTAAAACACTGAAAGGGAACATTTTATTGCACCAGGAGCTATCTTGGGACTTTTACTGCGACAACGTTGACTTGCCTGTGAATAAAAAATAAACCATAGTGTTGGTGATCTACAGTGTTGTCATTCTTCTTTGAACAGCAAGACCGCTAACACCCTATTTCAACAATCACTCTCCCTGTCATTGACATAATTAATAGATAGTTTAGCTTCTCACCATCATTTGCTGTGGCCCACTGATGTTAACGATCGTAACTGAAAGGCTGCCTGTCAAACGTAAACATTCAGTCACGTGACTTGCAAGAGTTTTACACTAGACGGATCCTTTCTAGCCATAACCCTCTAGCAGGGACTGAAAAGGGAGTAAAAAGGTTCTGATAAACTAATTTTAGTTCCGGCTCTTTTTTGTGTGAACGCGACTTTTCGGAACTATATCGGAACTAAAGTGGGAAAAGTACTGCGGTGTGAATGCGCCTATTGTGTGGCCTCATTCAGCAACAGATCGTGACTTCATGGACTATTATTTTCCTCACAATCTTCGCGATTATTTCTTAAAGAAGAGATGTCATAAACCTATGTTTACATACACACACACACACACACACACACACACACACACACACACACACACACACACACACACACACACACACACACACACACACACACACACACACACACACACACACACACACACACACACACTCTCATGTTGAGTGCCTATCAAACCCACAAACTGAGAAATAAGGCAACCCCATCAATTACAGTGGGGCAAAAAAGTATTTAGTCAGCCATCAATTGTGCAAGTTCTCCCACTTAAAAATATGTCTCTATGAGAGACAAAATGAGAGAAAAAAGAAAATCCAGAAAATCACATTGTCTGATTTTTAAAGAATTTATTTGCAAATTATGGTGTAAAATAAGTACTTGGTCAATAACAAAAGTTCCCCTCAATGCTTTGTTATATACCCTTTGTTGGCAATGACAGAGGTCAAACGTTTTCTGTAAGTCTTCACAATGTTTTCAAACACTGTTGCTGGTATTTTGGCCCATTCCTCCATGCAGATCTCCTCTAGAGCAGTGATGTTTTGGGGCTGTCGCTGGGCAACACGGACTTTCAACTCCCTCCAAATATTTTCTATGGGGTTGAGATCTGGAGACTGGCTAGGCCACTCCAGGACCTTGAAATGCTTCTTACNAGAAAATCTTTGGAGGGAGTTGAAAGTCCGTGTTGCCCAGCGACAGCCCCAAAACATCACTGCTCTAGAGGAGATCTGCATGGAGGAATGGGCCAAAATACCAGCAACAGTGTTTGAAAACATTGTGAAGACTTACAGAAAACNAGTGACAACCTCCTTCCATCAGCAAGGGCATTGAAAATGAAACGTGGCTGGGTCTTTCAGCCTTCGTTGCCCGGGCGGTGTGTTTGGGATCATTGTCATGCTGAAAGACCCAGCCACGTTTCATTTTCAATGCCCTTGCTGATGGAAGGAGGTTGTCACTCAAAATCTCACGATACATGGCCCCATTCATTCTTTCCTTTACACGGATCAGTCGTCCTGGTCCCTTTGCCCCAAAGCATGATGTTTCCACCCCCATGTTTCACAGTAGGTATGGTGTTCTTTGGATGCAACTCAGCATTCTTTCTCCTCCAAACACGTCTAGTTGAGTTTTTACCAAAAAGTTATATTTTGGTTTCATCTGACCTTATGACATTCTCCCAATCCTC